ATGTTCTAATGCAATTGGTGTTATTTATCATACTCCTGGGGTTGTTGGATCATTTAGCCCTGGTGGTACCGCTAAGGAATGGATTACAAGTGTTCCCAAGAAGTTAAAACCCAGTATGGGGATGATATTTAAAGATCCCGAAGAGGGTCTTAGTTTTTATAAAGCATATGCAAATGCCGCTGGGTTTACTTCTAGGAAATCTACTACTAAAAGGAAGAAGAATAACAAAGATGTAATTGCTTTTCAATATGGAGTTTGCAATAAGGAAGGTTTCAAGGCAATAAGAAAACCTATCGCTCAACAAACAGTTGATGAAGAAGGAAAAGTTCGTATTACTAGGAAACGTGTAGTCACTCGTGTAGGATGCAATGCTCGCATATGTATGAGATATGATGCCGAAAAGTATGTTGTAGCTCATTTCAAAGAAGAACATACATTCTGTATATACTCCAAGTTGTGCAAAATTTCAGAAAGATAATAGAAATATGCATATTATGCAAAAAAGTTGATTGTTGATGATTCAAAGGTGATTTATTTTTATGTGCTAAATAATGTTTTCTTTGTTATGATTTACTATGTTCTAAAGTTGATCCTTAATCATAGTATTTTTATTTTTTTGTAAATAGGTAAATGATGGTCCTGTGAGGTCTTATACTATGATGAAAGAATTAGCTGGATCACATGATAATGTTGGCGCATCTAAACAAGGTTTCAAAAACTTTTATAGAGATTTGAAGGCTTATATTGATGGATCAGATGCCCAAATGTTTGTGGATAATTTTCAAAATAAGAAATTGCTCTAGAGTGTATTTTTTTCTTCCTATGATGTTGATGAAGAAGATAGACTTTGTAGAGCTTTATGGGCTAATCCTATTTGTCGAAAAAAATAAGCACTTTTTAGTGATATGGTTTCTTTTGATACCACATTCAATACAAACAGGTGATGTTCTAAATGTAGATTTCTTTCATAATCTAACTAATATTTTGCTTTTACATCTTAATTTTTTTAACATATGTTCTTATATTCTAAACATTATGCCTTGTGTTCCTAAACAAATATCCATCATGTATTGATGTTCTAAAAATATATTCCTTATGTTCTAAACTATGTATGTCTTATGTTCTGAACATATATTGCTAATGTTTTAAACATAAATTGCTGATGTTCTAAACATATATGCCTTATGCTCTAAAATATATCCATCATGCTTTTATGTTTTAAACATTATGCTTTTGTGTTTTACACTTTATGCTTTATGTTCTAAACTAATATCCATCATGTTTTGATGTTCTAAACATTATGTCTTGTGTTCTAAACATTATGTCTATGTGTTCTAAAGTTTACTTATTATGTTTTAAAGCTTCACTCTATATTCTAAGTTTATTGTTTATGTTTTAGAGTAATTCATTTTGTTTTAAAACAACTATATTATTGGCAAGTTTAATAATTAAAGTAAATTACTATGCTCTAAAGTTTATCCTTAATGTTCTAAAATATACCTCTATGTTTTACAATTTACCTCTATGTTCTAATATTTTCTGCATATATAATTTGTGTATGTGACAGATATAATATGATCTTTGGTCCTTTTACTGGAGTTGATCATCATAAGAAATGTGTTACTTTTGCGGCTTCATTTGTAGCTCATGAGGATATATTATCTTTTGAATGGGTTTTCAAAACTTTTCTTAAAGCAATGAGAAATAACGAGCCTATGTGTTTAATTACCGATCAAGACCCTGCAATGAAAGTTGTTGTTCCTAATGTTTTTCAAACTATAGAACATAGGTTTTGTATGTGGCATATTATGAAAATGGTGCCTGAAAAAGTAGGTCGGGCAATTGCCCAAGACACTGATTTTATTAAAAAACTTTGTACATGTGTTTGGCATTTAGAAATTGAGCCGGCATAATTTGAAGAAAAGTGGAACAAAGTTATTTCTGAATTCCATTTGAACGATCATGAATGGTTGGCGCACATGTACAGTATATGTGACATGTGGATTCTAACGTATTTCAAAGATTTATTTTTGGGTGGCATCATGAGGACCACATCTAGATCAAAAAGTGAAAATACTTTTTTCACTATGTTCATAATTCCCCTCTCACTTTGATTAAGTTCTACATGAGGTAATATGTAATTGTCTAAATATGTTATAAAGTTACTCTCTATGTTTTAAAGTTACTCTCTATGTTCTAAAGTTTTCCTTTTATGCTCTGAAGTTTTCTTTTTATGGTTTATAGTTTTACTATTTATTTTATAATTCTCTTTTATGTTCTCTTTTTATGTTCTAAATTTTGTCTTACATGTTGAAAAGTTTTTTCTTTATGTTTTAATAGTATTTAGATCATAATAAGCATGTCATGTAATTCACTCTATGTTCTAAAGTTAATTTCTATTTTCTATAGGTTTAAATGTTCATTGGATGCTCAAAGGCACGCTCAAAATAAAATGGATAATGCTTCGAAGAATAAGCGTCCGGAGTGTAAGACTCCAATTCCTTTAGAGAAAGATGCTTCCGAGTTGTTTACAATAACAATTTTATATGTTTTTCAATATGAGCTTGAAATTGGATGTTTTAATTGTGGTGTTGAGGAGATAAAGAAGGACAATGAGCTTTACATTTTCAAATTGAGGGAAGGATCTAGGAGGAGGACTTTTGATGTTGTTTTTGATCCATTACCTTAAAAACCAAGTATTTTTGTAAAATGTTTGACTGTGAAGGCATTCCTTGTTGACATATGATTTGGGTATGGAAGGCAAGGATGTTAGAAAAAATTCTCAAGGCCTACGTTCTAAACAGATGGACTACAATGGCTTGTAAGAAGCCAATTTTTGATGTATAGTAGAAGGTAATGTGTTGGAAAAATGCATCAATGCAGTAGATAAGAAGATGTTATTGAATGATTTGTGGTCTGAAATTCATGCTTGTGTAAGTTTAGTGCAAAACAATGAAGATGATCTTAGTGATCTTGTCAACAAACTTCATGCTTTGAGGATGGATTTGGAACATAAGAAAACCACTAATGCAAGCAACACTCTTTCTACCGAAGCAAAAGATATTGAAATGCTTATTGGAGCTAGTCTACCTTCTAAAGTTTTAATCAAACCTCCTAAAATTTCGAAGAACAAAGGCACGGGGGTTCATGTTCCAAATCAGGTCATTGTTCCAAATGACGTCCATATTCCAAATGATATTCATATTCCAATTAGTGACAAGAGAATGAAGAGTGACAGAGAAAAAGCTGTTAAACAAAGTCAAAAGAAGAAAAGATTATGTAGAGCATGTGGAGAACTTGGCCATCATGATAGTCGCAATTGTCCCGGGAAAGTCAAGTAATATTGTAAGTAAACATTTTTTAAATTTCTTATATTCTAATTAGTTATAACCTAAAATTATTATATAATAATGTGTTAAAGGTTATTAATAATGTCCTAAGTTTTTACTTTGAGTTTTAATTTAATAAATGTCTTTTCATATCATTTTATTATGTTCTAATGTAATTTTGTATATGTTCCAAAATGCATCTAATATGTTCTAAAGTTTATCATATATATATTCTATTAATATTTTTATGTGTTTATGTTCTAATTATTTTTAATTTTTTTTTCAGGTCGATGGATATACAATTAGTACAATCGCATGAGACGTTTTATTTTTAGAAATAATCTCATTTACTTGCACATGGAAAAAAATTCGTGTAATTTTTTTTTTTTTGGTATTTTTTTTATTATATTGAGAACATAATATCATATTATTTTTTGTCCAATTAAACTATATATTCTAAAGTTTATTGTATGTTCAAATCTAATTAATAGGTTCTATAGTTTTCCTTTATGTTCTAAATTTTTACCTCTATGTTCTAAGTTGCTTATATTTTTAATTTGTTATTTGTATGATTACTTATCAACACCATAATGTCTTGTGTTCTAAACTAATTACATTTGAACATGACTTCTACTAGCACCAAACTCCACTCGCAACAAAGAAGATAGAATTAGTATTGGGGTAAATTTTAAGTTGTAGTATTTAGTTTAGAACATAAACTATAATTTACTATGTTCTAAACTATTAGTAAACCATCATTGCATGTTCTATGTTATTAGTTAACAAATTTCTATCAAAGTAACTTCTATCAAATAATAAAGAAATGTACTGTTATATTCTTTGCAAATATCTGTCTCCAAATATAAACTTAAGATCTTAACAATCATATATCAATTTTGTAAATTTAAATATAAGCATATAATTATTAGAACATAATCAGAATTACTTTAGAATATAAGCATATAATTATTAGAACATAATCAGAAATACTTTAGAATATAATCATATAATTTAGAACATGAATATAATTTAACATATAAGCATATAATAAATATAATAAACCATAACAAATCTAAACAATAACCAAACCAAACCACAATACTAAAACCATAACACCAAACCATAAACAAAACTAATTTAAAACATGTATGTTATGTTGTAAACTTACATTGTCTAGTTCTAGTCCCGAATTCCATTGTTTTACAGATTTTCCTTCATATGTTTCTATGTGCTTCAATTGAAATACTCCACAATCATGTTTGTTCTTATTTCTCTTCCATGACATACTCAAGTTTCTTGTTTTGAAGGAGGATACAAAGTCACTCTTTATATTTGACTCAACTGAGTGAAAGAAATCACCAAATGCATTCAATTGAAAAATTGGATAAACTTTAGAATATATAGATAAACTTTCAAGCATATAGGTAAACTTTAGAGCATAAAGAAAAAGTGTAGAACATAAAGGGAAACTTTAAAACATATAAGGCAAAAGTAAGAACATAAAAGTATAATTTAAAAAATGTAAACTTTGATGTCTAAACATTAATCTATGGTAATTTATTATTGTTTATTTTGAAAAGGAATATCTGGCAGAAGAAATCTGTTGTCAATCAAATAATGTAAAATTACCAACTGCTGATGAGGGGGTCAACAAGTTGAAGCTTGGAGGAGTTATATCAAAAGGTTGCTTCTTTTTTGGAGGAATTGGTGTTTCGGTGTCTCCTCATTCATTTTCTCTTTCTTCTCCACATTTTGCACACAGTTTTGATCATCTTTCTTCTCCTTTTTTCCCTCCTCGTTTCTCTCTTTTTTGTCCTTCTCTTCTTCTTCATCTTTTGATCCCAAATCTTCATAGCAATTAGAGAATAAAAATTAAGTAATATAGCATAGCAAGAAATAATTAGAAAATAAAAAGTAACTTTAGAACATAAGAAATATAAACAATTATTACACAACCTAGAAATAGTTAGAACATAAGTAACTATTAGACCATAAGAAGAAATAATAAGGAGACAACCTAGAAATAGTTAGAATATAAGAAATTAAGAAGTAACTTTAGAACATACCCAGAAAAAATTTAGAACATAAGAAGTAACATTAGAACATATCTAGTAAATATTAGTACATAAAAACTGAATTTGAAAATAATGTGAAATTACCAACTACTGGTGAGGGGGTCAACAAGTTTTTGTCTTTATTCTCCTCATTTTGCACAATGTTTTGATCATTTTTTTTCTCCTTGTTTTTCTGCTCATTTCTCTCTTCTTTGTTCTTATCTTTTTCCTTTTCCTTTGATCTCAAATCTTCATAACAATTAGATCATAAAAATTAAGTATTATAGCATAACAAAAAATAATTAGAAAATAAGAAGTTACTTTAGAACATAACTAATTTAGAACATAATCATAAAATTTAGAGCATAAGCATCTAATTTAGAACATAAGCATCTGCTTTTAAGTGCATCTTTTAGAACATAAGAAAGTAATTTAAAACATAAGCATCTGATTTACAACATAAGTATAATTGGAAATTAAGCATGTAGTTTGAACATGTGAAATTACCAACTGTCGGTGTCTTTGGTGACCTTTTTTCCTCGAATTTCTTCCATGCCTTATCCATAGGGAATTTTGTCTAGAACTACCCGCAAGATAGAGTCATTTATTTATTTTTATTTGTTTACCACTACCCGCAAGTTTGAAAAAGTTTGGGTAGCACTACCCATTAACGTTTTCCATCCAAAAAACCGTTAGTGGGCCCCACATTGTACACGTGTCAATTATTTATTGGATAAATAAATATAAAATAAAAAGAAAAAAAAAACCCAGCCACCAACAAGCCACCCCAACCACCGTGAAACCCTAGCCCCTACCCCCAGCCACCACTAAAAATCGGCCGGCCACCAACCCTTCACCCCAACCTGACACCCCTACCAGTCCCACGATCCTCCCTCTATCTCCTTCGACCCACGACCCACACTAGGGTCACTCGCCGCACCGCCTTCTCTTTCCTTTGACGAGCCACCCAGATTCAAACCACCCTCCCCCAAACCCAGACCCAAAACCGAATCCCTCCTTACCCGAAATCGAAACCACCACCTACAATCGAAATCGGGTCGGTGTTCAAAATGGTGTGCGATGGTGGGTTTTGGTGTTGTCAGAGGTGATAGGCTTATCGCGTACCTAACAAAAATAACCTAACTATTCCTTCTAACTGTGTAGTAGGGCAAGTAAGGATCGAATCCCAAGAGACTATGGTTCATTCAATTAATCAGACTCAATTAATCACTAAGCACGTCACCAATCAATAATGGATGATAATAATCAACTAATATATTAAATAACACAATTAACTAGAGGAAATATTAATCAATAAACTAAAGCATCCAAGATCAAGCATTACCACGATTATGATTGATAAACTAATAAATCTACCCCCAATATATAAATCAATTGACAAGAAGAAAAGCAATCCCTAATAATAATACCAAAGGTCTCTTCCAAGTTATCAATGGCTTCCCAAATTAACTATCAAGCCTACTTCCGTGGAATCAAGCGAATAAGGGACATTAAACACCATGCCTAGATTCCTAATTATTCAATCATCTACTTCCGTGATGATCTTCAAACCCTTAATTGGAATAACCTAATCCCGTTAATACCCAACTTCCGTTGCAATAAGAACAAAGGGATGATAACAATACTAATTATTCCTAATCTAGTATTGGCATAAACACAATCAATTAAGCATGTCAATTGGGATTATTATTGGGGAATTTAAAGATCTACTTTATACATCAATCATAATCGGGCTTAGCAAGATCCCGGATTAAGGAAACTACTCACACATCATAATAAAATCAAAATCAAGTTCAAAAACAAGAAACAGTAAAGAAAACATATTTAGAGAACAGTGAATATCAGAAAAGAGTGAAGTAAGATAAATACCAATTACTCCAATTGAAAGAACTCAAATTGTTGATGAACAATTGATTAATCTGGGATTAAAAGATTGAAATTGCTTAAAGGAAATAAAACTAGGGTTCTTGAGAGTTTTCTAGGGCTTAAGGAGAAAAACTAATGAAAAAAACTCACTTTAAAAGTTAATTACAAAAGGGTATTTATACCCTCAAAAGATAGAAATTCGGAAATAGCTGAAATCGCGCAATCTTGAACATCGCCCGGTCAGACCGGGCAAACCTCGCCCGATCGGGCGGAGGAAGGCTGCGTAAAATACGACAGTTTTCCTTCTTTGCCCGGTCAGACCGGGCGAACCTCGCCCGGTCGGGCGCGCGTAACACGTTTCCAGAATTGCATCTTCATAACTTGACTTCTTCATCGCCCGGTCTGACCGGGCGAAGCCTGCCCGATCGGGCGCGCGTTGCACCGTTCAGAATTGGGCTTCTTCCTGTGAACTCTTCATTGCCCGGTCTGCCCGGGCAAGCCATGCCCGGTCTGCCCGGGCAAGCCATGCCCGGTCGGGCACTCCACATAAATTGCAGTTCTTGGCTATCAACTCTTCCGAATCTACTAAAAACACGTCCAATTGCCTAGAAACGCTTCATATTCCTGAAAAGCTTACTAAAACAATCGAATACACTAAAGAAGAGATTGTTAGCAAGAAATGGCTCCGTAGAGCTCAAAACCATATAAAATTACTAAGTAAAACCGGGGAAAACCATTGTATAAAACACGTATATCAAATTCCCCCAAGCTAAACCTTTGCTTGTCCCTAAGCAAAGCAATGAATAAATAAATCAATACTTCACCCCAAAAGCAATTCAAATCAATAAATACGATTAAAGGTAAACTCGACAGTTATGCATCAAAGTCAACCAATCAAATCCATCTGACTACTCATCCTGTCTGACAATAGTCAAATAGAGCAAACCACAAGAGCATATAGAATTCAAGACTAGTGTTCACACACTCAACTCTCATTTATGTGGCGAGTAAAAGATATACTCGATCGCTCTCCATCCAACTCCTTTAAATGTGAACAATGCCCTCCCAAACTCACGCACTCGTGTGTTTAAAGAAAACAAGCACTCAACCTAGCAGTCGACTCGAAATATATCAAATCATTCTTTGCATTGGAAAACAACTAATTTCACATTCACACAACTCTATGCACAAAGGTCAGAAGGTCTTCAAAGCTTGTAATGTAAGGCTAGGATAAAAGGTAGGAAATATTTGGGAAAATGTAAGAGTAAAGCTATGCTTAAGGGAGCCAAAATCCTAATAAATAAAACCAAGGTCAAAATGAATTAATGACCAAATCATCTCCAACACAACTCAACTCTACCAAAAATTCACCAAACATCCAATTATATTAAAAATTTCCAACACTTAAAATTTCACTCATATATACAAAATATAAAATTATAGAACTTGAGTGAACAAACAAACTTTGAACTCTCCTTTTTTTTTCTTGAGCAGCCTTCAATTAGAACACTTGAACATTGAAACAATTTTTTCTTTTGCTCTTTCTTTTCCCTTTTTTTCATCTCACATTGGAATTTTTTCTTTGCACAATAAATTTTCAATTTTTTCAATCCACAACAATAAGAACAAATAAAAACTTCTCAAATCCACCCAAAATTGTGCAGATTACATGCACACTACAACTCCCTCACCTCACTCACTATTAGCTCCCCCAAGCCAAGCTTGGGACTAGTAACCAATGGGGCTTAAATAGGCTTGTAATGTGGCAAAATAAACAATAAAAGGGCACAAGCAACAACATGGGTAGAAAGAAGGGAACAAATGTATCTAATATCGTCTGAAAGCCACCTAGAGGAACAAATGCCTTCGTCCTCCTCAATGTGCATATTAATGAGTCATGCAAACATTACTCAAAGTTATAAACCAATACTCAACTTCATTGACATACCAGGAACTAACACACATTCCTAACCAAATCAACTAGTCAAGCACTATATTCACAAGTAGTTGGGCAAAATTGACTCATGTTAAGACATCCAAGTAATCAAACATCAAATCATGGCTAACCTATCCACAATACTCGTCATCATATACCAAGAATTAAAACAATTTTCATGAATGGGGCACAGGGAAGCATGATTTATTATTCATTGGATCGTATTTTTTGTATGTTTTTTTTTTTTTTTTTTTTTTTTTTTTAAAAAAAACAACTAAAATAACTACACTAAAATAAAACAAGAAAGATAAGAGAGATAAGGAGAGAGAGAGTACCACATGTACGAAGCAACTCCCCCAAGCTAAATGCGGCAATGGCCTCATTGCAGCGTAAGGAGAGCATAGGAATCTCGACGGCTCCTCAAAAAGAATCGGGTTGCCTCCCGCAAGCGCTTGTTTAGAAGGTCATTAGCTTGACCGTATTCATCCTCATTGAGTTTGTGGTGAGGAAGAGAATGTGATATCTGACTTTTCTTCAATAGGATCTCCCGCTCGATAGTGCTTCACCCTTTGTCCATTGACTTTGAAGGTGCCCCCGGTGTTGTTCCATAATTCAATGGTGCCATAAGGATATGCTTTGTAGACCGTGAAAGGGCCCGACCATCTTGACCTGAGTTTCCCTGGAAATAGTTTCAACCTTGAATTGAATAGAAGGACTTGCTCTCCTTCTTTCACAGAATTTGGAGGGGGAAGTTTCTCTATTACCTCTACTTTGGCTTTGTCCACCTCAATCCCTTTGTTTGAAACTACATGGCCTAAAACGATTCCCTGTTGTACCATAAAATGGCACTTCTCCCAGTTCAATATCAGATTGACATCCTGGCATCTATGGAGCACCTTTGTTAGATTATCAAGGCAAATATCGAAAGATGAACCATAAACAGAAAAATCATCCATAAAAACTTCCATAGAATTTTCTATGAGACCTGAGAAAATAGCCATCATACACCGTTGGAACGTGGCTGGGGCATTACACAATCCGAATGGCATTCTGCGATATGCGAAGGTGCCATATGGACATGTGAATGTAGTCTTTTCCTGATCACAAGGGCGGATGGGGATTTGAAAAAAACCGGAATATCCATCCAAGTAACAGAAAAAGGAATGGTTAGCCAATCGTTCGAGCATTTGATCAATGAAAGGCAAGGGGAAATGATCTTTACGGGTGGCTTTATTTAATTTTCTGTAATCAATGCACATCCGCCACCCTGTAACAGTTCTTGTGGCAACAGGCTCGCCTTTGTCATTCTTGACAACTGTCATACCTCCTTTCTTTGGTACTACTTGTACAGGACTAACCCACTTACTATCTGAGATAGGGTAGATTATTCCTGCAGCAAGCAATTTGAGAACCTCTTTCTTGACTACCTCCATCATAGTTGGATTTAGCCTTCTTTGAGGTTCTCTAGAGGAGGCATGATCGTCCTCAAGAATGATCTTATGCATACAAAAAGAGGGATTAATACCCTTGATATCATCAATGGTATACCCAATAACATTTCTATATTTTCTTAAAACAGCGAGAAGTTTCTCTAATTCAATGTTATTAAGCTCAGCATTAACAATAACAGGGTATGTATTTTTAGGACCAAGATATGCATATTTAAGATTAGATGGAAGGGGTTTCAACTCTACCTCGGGAGGCGTCGAACTCTCCCCAACACTCGATGTACTAAGGACTTC